AAAAAAAAAAAAAAATTAACATCAACCTTTTTAGATATATATAGATATAAGCCTCCTTTACTTCAAAGGATGGGATATGATAAGTAAAATTGTTCTCGCTTATCCTTTGTTTCCCTTAGGGATTGGGATGGGATTTGTGTGATGTGGCGCACATGTGGCTGCAGGTCCCACGTTCATATCAATTATTGGGCGATAATTTTCATCCTGGCCACCCCACGGAATACATTAATCCCATCCAAAATATGACCATTTTGCCCTCATGTTCTGATTTGAAAATACCAAACTACCCTGAAATATAAATTGAATTACGAAATTATACCATATAAAATTTGAGATGTCGTTCCCCTCTTTCTTGTGAGAGCTTTTCTCACTTGACAGGAAGAAGGCATTAACGACGGCGCCAATTTGTATCTTTGCCTAGATAAGTTCGAAGAACGTGTTTGAGATGAAAGTTCGTTGAATTTTAAACCATAGCTATTATTGTCGAGTAAATCGGAATCCATTACAATCAATTGCTTCAGTTTTTCCAGAAATCCTAGTTCGAATAATGTGAGTTATTTTCTTTTCAGAAACCCTATTTCAATTGCTTCGATTTTCAGTAAAGGAGAAGGTAATGTTCTACTCATTTAACATATAATGGGTTTGTTAATTCGAGCTCATACATATTGTGAAAGGTATGCTTTTTAATATGTTTGGTTTTTGCGATTTGTACTTTGTTTTTGTTTTTTTTTAAGAAAACATAATCTGTAGAGTTGAAGTAGTCGTCGCCGACTTCCATTCTCTCCCACAGAGGTTTGTGATTTTGGTTTTGAATTAAAATGTTGTATAGTTGTTTATAATTTTGATCGTTCATATTCTTTGGATTTTGCCTTGTTTGAGTTGAATTTGAGAAAGTGTGATTTATTATGATTATAGTGTATCTATTTTGATTACTTTTCCATGTCCGAAGTTGAAACTTGATAACCATTTTTGTAACCTATCATGACTTTTGATTTGCTTATTGAGTATAGTAAATTTGTGTTTTGTTGCGGTCGAGTGTTACTATTTTGAGTGTATCATATTTTGATTGTTCATTTGTATGTTACTACTCTCCAAAGTGGTCTCCTCTCCTTGTCGCGCACGTCCTCGGCTGAATTAGGGCAAAGAAATCTTACAGAAGACAATGCAATTTTGAGGGGGACGGTAGGAGCAAAACAAATCGTAAAGAAGGGTATACAAGTCTTTTATGTGGTTAATGGCTGACTTAATCAACCAAAGTAAATGTGAGATACGTTTATGCCAATTCCACCCCAAAAAGTAAACGTTAGACTAATTAATGACGTGTAAAGTTGTCCTGATTATTTACTTTTAGCCCATCCCCCAAAGGTAACGAGGCCTAAAAAGTCTTCCAAAATCACAATTTTTGGATAAATTGTTTAAAACTATAATCTCTAAAGATTTTTTTTAAGATTTGTTGGGATTTTAAAAAATAAAAAAAAAAAATAAATATGAAATCTCACTCAAAATCCACATCTAGACTTAAGAGTGTATTCAATTGAGATTTCAAAAGACCTTTTAAGACTTTAGAAATCTCGATGTATTCAATTTAGTTAAGACTTTTAAAAGTCTTTGGGTGTTCAATTGAGATTTTAAAAAATCTTACAAAATCCTGAGGTATTTAACTTATTTGATACTATGAGTTGTTAAGATTTTTTAAGATTGGGTGGAATTTATAAAGAAAAATCCTTATACGAAATTCCACTCAAATCACCCATCTAGACTTATCATTCCACAAAAATTCTCCAAAATCTGCAAATATTAAAAAATCTCAAATGTCACTTGAAATCTCAATTAAATACACCCCTTTAAGATTTCACATGATTATTAATAAGTCTGGAAATAAGAAATCTCAAATCTCAAAAAAATCTTAAAATTTCACATGAAATACGAAATAAATACACCCTTCAATCTCATGGTGTCCTTTACATATGGGATAAATTTATCTTGTGGGGAGTGTTCTGATAAAAAATATCTCCAATTTTGGTTATTGTGTGAAATTACAGAAGTGTCCTTTATTTGTTTATCGTAAATCCCAAATTCCCAAATCACATTTGAGCTTGATAAAATTGGATGCGGATAGGCCTACACACGAGTCGAGCCGAGCTCGTTAAATAAACAAGCCTGAAATCGAGTTCGAACTCGGCTTGTTTATCACTAATAACGAGTCGATTTTGAGCTTTAACCAGTCGAACTATAGAAAATTATATAAAAATTTTATTTCAAACCTTAACGAGACTTGTCGAGTCGAACCAAGCTCGGCTCGTTAACCAAATGAGTCTTTAACGAGCTCGAGCTCAACTAGTTTGAGTTGAACTCGGGCCTAATAAACAGAATTTGAGCCGAGTCGAGCCAGACTTGGTTTAATTTAAGTACTTAATAGCACGAGATGTGGAGTAGGTGGCTAGTAAATTGTTGGCCATGTCTTGTGCGGGCGACAGAGCTATAAATTTTCCATGGCGGCTGATCACGAGAATATGTTTTGTTTTTCTTAACATCTTTAATGTCATCCTTCTTTTTTTTTTTTCGAAACGATAGATTTTATAGAAAACAAACAACACACATACAACTAAAATAAGTCAAACAACCATTTAGCTGAATCTAAGGAGACAACCCTGCGACAGGCGTCTACAGATTACTCTAATTCAACCCACAACTCACCCACAAAGCAATAACTAAAAGACTACACAAATCTCACTAGGGATAATTCACAAATCCCTGTGGATAATCCAACTCCTACAAAGGCGAATAAACACAAAAAAACTAGCAAAATACAAAATACTACACCACACTAACAAACAACACCAACAAAACAACACAAAATATCAATAAATAGAAAAATATCCTCCTCTCCACAGCGAGACCACCCGCAACGCACCACAATATGACGCTCAGAGACAATTGCCCACTTAAATAGGACTTCGGCTCAACTACTACTCCAATATTTCAGTAAAGCCATGGCTAGCTGGAACCACACCGAACGACCAAAATTTTTTCCCAGATGGACAGCTTTAATGCCATCCTTGTTTGACTAGTATAAAAACTTGTAGCTCGCTAACATACTTGCGACAAAATAATCTTACTGAAAGCTAAAGTTTGAGCTATACTGGATTAGGAGAATGGCTGGACCATGACCTTTGAGGAGTGCCTTACCCTCGACGAGTACTAGTTTCGTAGTTCTAGGGAAATGGCTGGACCATGACCTTTAAACATATTTCACAAAGTCAAAGTTTTGACTCAATTATTTTAGGTTTTCAAAAAAAAAAAAATTAACATCAACCTTTTTAGATATATATATGGATATAAGCCTCCTTTACTTCAGAGGATGGGATATGATAAGTAAAATTGTTCTGGCTTATCCTTTGTTTCCCTTAGGGATTGGGATGGGATTT